GTAAAAACTTCACTCCGAATTGGTGCGGGAAAAAAAAATGTCTAAGAGCCAGATGTAGAAAAACACTGACTTAATTAGTGGCTGGCAACTGGAGTAGCAAGTTCCGAAGCCAGGTACACTTCACACATCAGAACGAGGTGCCATGATCTCTCTTTTCCTTGAGGGCAGCGGTGGCAGGAAGTGCTGGACAGCACTGGAAGACAAGTCAGCACTTGCCGGGTGACCAGACTGTACCTGAACATGATGGTCAGTGAGTGTGGGGAAAACAGCCGGGTCCACACTGAGTGTCCCATCGATGGATCTGCTACCAAGACGAAATAAAGAGAGAGAGAAGACAGAAAGAGATTGAAGTGGAGGCTAAATGAATGGAGGGGTGGAGAAGGAGGAGAGAAAGGAGGGAGGAAAAGAGAGAGAGAAGCAGCAAACGGATTTTCTGATTCTCATTTTTAAAGGAAAAAGATGAAGAAAACGCATCACCCAGCAGTTAATTGTTCGCAGGCCGTGCCTGCGCTAGCTCAAATGCAAAAGCTGACATGATAAAATGTTCGCATCCTGTGATCTGCTGTTAATAAAGTGTAGCACAAAGGCGCAGAGGAGTTTGCCATCTGCTAGCAGGATGCTGCACAGCTTGGGGAAGCCGCTGCAGGCCACCTACCCCACGGCTGGCTCCACAGTGCAGCCCTGGAACCCAGGGCTGGGCCCGGTCAGGCTGTGGGAAGGGCGTGGGAGGTCCCAAGAAGGAAAGCTGGGCCTGGGGCTTGCCAGAATCCCTCTGTGGACCAGACTGGCTGGCTACCCAGCACGGGCCAGGGGTTACTGGAGGCAAAGGGGTCAGCACAGTGGCCCTTCCAGGAGAAAACTTTAGGAGATTAAGTTATCAGCAAAACCGAAAGATTAGAAACAAGTAGACTGGTTGTATACACTAAGAAACTTCCGTTCTATAAAACACTACACAGATGATAAGAATGAGGAAACTATGCAGTTCCCTGTGCTCTGATACAGACGGTAAGGGCTGGGATCCAGGAGAGAAGCTTGTCTTGGCTGCCGCCAACTTCTACCCGCAATCTGCTGCTTCCCTCAATGATGCAAGGAGGTCATAAGTGCAAGATGAATCAAGTGTGACCTGGTCACGGACAGAAGTCATAGACGGTCTCAGATTACCTTACACTGCTGCAAGTATCGGAAGAGACCAGTTGCAGTCAAATACTTTTAAGCTATTGACAGCGAGCCACGGCTAAATCTTGCTACTTCGTATGTAATTCAGAAGTACATGTAGGCATGTCTCTATTGTGACCAGTGATTGAATATCATTGGTTTCCTCTGTAACTTCATGGGTGACTTTTTCCCCACAAGGGCTGCTGCGAGAGGGGCTTTGTCGATGGCTTCACCAACTGACAGAGGTCCATGACACAGAAACACAGCAGCAGGCAAGATCAGTGTCAATCATTCACTGCCATGCACGATTAAGAAGCAGGTCCCAGCTGGGCGTGGTGCTAGACACTTGCAACCCCAGAACTATGGAGATGGAGGCGGGGGGGGGACCAGGAATCCAAGGTCATCTTTGGTTAGAGACTTTGAGGTCTCAAAAGTGAGCGAGAAAGAGAGGAGAGTGGAGTTAGAGGGCTATTACGGATAAATATGCCTGGGACAGAACACAGAACCCCAGACAGGCTCTCTGAAATATACCGCAAAGGTGTGAAATGCCATGGAAGAAACTAATTAGACATCCATACACCCCGAACTGAACCTTTCGCTTCAGCTAAATGAGCTGGAACATGAAGTGTGAAGCTGCCCGTGAGCACACTGGCCCATGCACACCAGTGTCGGTGTGGTATTGCTCCACGATACTGTGGGTGGGAAGCTGATCGGCTTAAGGGAGGAAGACAACCACGGTGCATTCTGGGTCTCTATGTAGTTCCCTGTAAGGGAGGTCTAAATCTCTAGTCCATCAAAACAGTATTTAGGAGTGCAGGAAGCTATGTCTCCTGCTCAGGACTGCTCCATCCTAGCCACAAGAACACGGACAGTCAGACAACAGGAGATGCTGACACCTTCTGACTAGTGGGCATTCACCTGGAACCCCGAGGTTTCTTCCTGCATTGCTTTCCCCAGGATGCTTACTTTAGGATACCTATTCTAGGATTCTCTCAGGCCCTCTGTCGTGGTGAGTGGTGTGGGCAGTGAACCATGGAGGCAGATGTTCTTAGGTCACTCTGTTAGAGGGGACAGGGTGCAAGCATGTGTTCTGTGCCCAACGTTTTCAAGGCAACAAACAGGACAACACGGGCATTCAACTCTACAGCTGGTACCTGGAGATGTGTGCTCCAACTTCTGCTTGGGGCTCTGCCTCTAACAAACCGTGACGTGGGTAAATGGCTCTCTCTTCGCTTACCTTTCCACAGTAGGGATAACGCCACGGCTGTGGTGAGGGTGCAGCGTGGGAAGGAGTGCAATTTCTTGACTCGGTGTGGAGTTTTAAGGAGAACGGACTCTCCTCCTCTGACCCCTGAGAGGCTCCAGCAGAGCAAAAATGTAGGACAGCGGACGACCAAAGCAGGGTGATTCACCTCCTCTCCACCCCGGAGTCCACAGGAAGCCCTGGAATTCACTCACTCATTCACAACAGGCCCACAACTGCTGGCCTAACCAGTGCCGCACAGGGACTAATGAGGTCTCGTCCCGGCTGGCGAGGGAAGTCACTGGTCCTCCAGAGCCCCCTAATGGGGCTCAGAGGTTCTAGGCCCGGGCTGCAGGCCCTGTCTTCGAGAATACCAATAGAGGATGGCTGGGTGACTCGCATGCGCAAAAGCGTAGAAGACGCGGAACACCGCGGGAACACGAAGGGAGGTATTTGAAGACAAAGGATGAATGGCTGGGAGGCTAGAGATCGCATAGATCACAGGGGCTCATAGCTTGATTTTTCAGTGAAATCGCTTATCTCCGAGGGCTGCTTCAGCAGTCGCGCCCCAGGATATCCCAATTCTTTGGGCTACCACAGTGAAACCGCTGTGAGCTGCACCACCATGTCAGAGGCGGTCGCTAGGCAACAAGCCCTCCTCAATTTCGACCCGTCTCGCCCTCTCGTGGCAGCATCCCGCCGCTGCATCCGACGCCCGGGAAGTCGGGTGGGCGGGCATATATTCTTGTAGTTTAGAGTTAAAACTAGAGTTAAAACTGGTTGGCAGTCCTGCCGCCAGACCCAGCTCTCTTTCCACTCTTCTCTGGTTAAGTCTGGCCTGTTCTACTCATTCCAGCACCCGTGCTGGCTGGGTAGGAAGGAGGGGAAAGCTAGCCAGGTGGGCAGCAGGTCCGAGTGAGACATCAGTTCTTACTCAGAGTGGTTGGGAGCCAGGCTAGCTCTTGAGGAAGACAGCTACACGGACTGTAGAGGGACATACATTGTACCGCCCAGAAGGCTGCAGGGTGCATGCATCCCCCACTTCAAGAGAGCCATGACCGTGACAGGCCTCACAGAACAATAGAGGGCAGTTTCAGACTGACAACTTGGGGCCGTCACACGGGAGGAAGGCAAGTCTCCTATCTGAAACCAGTGAGGGGGTAGCATCGCAACAGGTTGCCCACCTCACTTGGTACCCCCAAACCAAAAGATGTTGAGCCCTCTCTGGATCATAGAGTAACAGACCCAGTTAACTGAGAAACCCTCCCAAATTCCTGGGCCCCTGTGGGCTGGAATCCCTCCAGAAGGGGCTTTCGAAGAAAGCTAATCCCTTCCCCCACAAACTCCACCATCTAAGCCAGTGTCTTGTCCTCGCAGTAATCTGAATGTGGGTCCAGGTGCAGTTCAGGTGTTCTGTCTCGTACATTTGTGCTGGCCAGTCATGAGAAACAATGTAATAAAAGGGGCACCGACTGAAGTCCATGTTGCTGTACTGACAGCCGGAGGTCCTGTGGAGGCAGGGTAAATAGGGCTAAGGGGAGAAGCAGGTCTTCTCTGTAGCCCCAGGTCCTGTAACGCTGTGGCCTGGGAGAGTAGGGCCAGCACAGGGTAGGGAACCTGACAGTTTGGTTCATGGGCCAGCCTGGTACAGACTCATTGCAGCACTGGGTCAGGCTGAAGTCAGTCCTGAGGCCTCAGACTGCTTTTACACTGTCTGCTTTGCCCCAGAGAACACTTTGTAAAGCAGTAACTGAATGACTCATCAAAAAGTGCCTGCTCTAGAACCTTCGACCAAGACAGACCCTGGCTCTCAGCTCTCACCATTGTACTTGTTGGAAGAACTGGGCATCATTTCTCATGGACCCTGCTGTTCCTGACCTTGGTCCTGGAAAATGTTTGGACTCTTGTGGATTTTTGGATGCAGATAAAACAGTATGTGGTTTGTGAATGTGGGTAGGTAGATCACAGCCTCGTGGTGATGCATAGACTAATAGAAATGGGCTAATTTAAGATGTAAGAGCTAGCTGGAAATATGCCTGAGTCATCGGCCAAACAGTGTTGTAATTAATGTAGTTTCTGTGTGATTATTTGGGTCTGGGCGGCCGGGAAGCCTCCATCTACAACCAAGTTTTATCTTCAGTCTGCAACAGGGTTGCTTTGTGATGAAGGAACAAGAGTCGAGCGAGGAAGACGGCTCAGGATCCTTAAGCAGCAGAATAGGATCAAGTTCTGTTTTTAAAAACCGTGTTCCTCTGCAGAGACCGTAAAAGGAGGTAGAGTTGGGGAAGACACCATGACATTTCAAAAGCATTTACGTCTACTCCTTAAGCTCTCCCTGCTTAAAATCATGACAGCAGTGGGGAGCCCGAGGCTGGAGGATCCCAGGTTTGAGGCTGTGCTGGGGCACGTAGTGAGACTAGAGAAAGGTAGCCTGCCTCAGACCATCTCGCTTGACTCCTAAGGTCAAGGGCAAGAAAGCCAGGCCAGGGAGATTTGCCTCAGCACTAGCAAACCCGGAACCCAGGTATCCCAAGCTCCCCAGCCAGGCTCATGCCGACAAGCCTTCTGTGAGAATTAAACAGAGAAGCCTTCCACAAGATTTGTAATGCTCACTTTATTCAATGCTCAACTGTCCTCAGAGAACGAGCTACAAATTTATGCTCTGAGAACCGCTTAAGTGCCTATGAGTTCCCTACCATGAAAACATCCAACGCTAAAACCTAAATTTTTCAGTGAGAAAGAATGCCTATTGTTGCTTAAGCTTCACAGAGACGTGAAGTGGCCCAGTTGTCAGGATGTTCACTAGCTGGATAAAGACAAGGGGCGCTGGCTGAGCAAAGGTCCGGGATGCTGCAGAACCTGCTGTCAACATCCCAGTCCCTGACACCCGCCGTGCATGTCTGTGGTACCCAGCCCCGGGGATCAGGCAAAGTGGGCAGAAGGCTGAAATGGATGGTGCCTTCTGCCCTGCGTGAGGCCTGGGGAAATCAGAGGCCACCTGTAGAGGTGAATTTCATAAGTGGCATGGCCCAGGATGGTTAAATTCATTCCTAAACTTGTGTTTCACCAGCCCCCACTCTTCAAAGGTCCTGCTCCACCCGGACACTCTCTCCCCTCGTACACCACTTCAACATCCACACAGGAGCCAGAGAACCTTGGAAACCGCACGCATCCTCCCACCTTGGAATCAGAATTAGCTGCTGCCATTTTACACCTATCCATACCCTTCCTCGCTATATAACACGAACGCAAGTGAAAAAAAAATAATCGCTGCCATACATGCCCCTCCCCGCCCAAGTGGCCCTTGAGGTGGCCTGTGGTTTAGCTGGACTGCTCCTAGGAAGAGTGCTCCTGGGAGGAGTGCTGGCTGGACTGGCTGGGCACGTCTGCCTCTGCGTCCTGGTTATCTGGAAAGGACAAGGAAAGCGGGGAGTTTAGAATGAAGCTGAGTCACCAGTTGCCAGATGCAGATTTTCTACAAGGCCCCTGAGGACAGTGGCTCTATCCTTTGCTGTCTGTCGTATAGACTGACTGCTAGCCTTGGCCACACGAACAGCCTTGAGTCCTCCATCCAGCCTGGCTCCTCATTGCTGCTGAATCCCAGCTACGAACCTCCACTTGCCCTTCTATGACGAGACAATGGGCAAGCAGCAGGGGGGCGACGAGTTTCATGAGCGCCTCGCTGCCTGCCTTCTGCCTGTGGTTTACCCTCATAAGAGTCTCACGAGGCAGAGGCCACTACCTGTCCTCTTTGGCAGGTGCTGGACCTGAAGAGCCACAGAAGAGTTTGTCTAAGGTCCCATAAACAGTACACGCCAGAACAAAGTGGATGCTCAGGCCACCAGCCAGCGAGCTTCGAGCCATCCTATACCAGCCACAAGGCAAGTGTGCCATGGGCCTCAGCTTCCTTTTCAGTAAAACTGCATAGCACCAGGCTCACCCAGCTCATTGGACAGTTTTGATATTTATATTAAAGAGCTCTTTGAATCTGGCAACTTTTTTCCCAAAGCACAGGAGGCCTCATTCCTCCTGTGTGAGGAATAGGATCCCAAAACCCAACAAAAGATTCAGAGACCACCCCTGCATCCTTTCATTTCAGAAAGGAACGAAGCCTTAGAGAGTTTGAAGCTGGGCTGGAGAGGTGGCTCAGGGGTTAAGAGCGTTTGCTGCTCTCGGGGAGGATCTGAGTTCAGTGCCCAGCATGCGACTCCAGCTCCAGGGGACCTGACGCCCTCTGCTGGCCACTACAGGCATCTGCACACATGCCGCAAACACATTCATACACACAAATTTAAAAAAATCTAAAAAGAAAATAAAAAGAAGCATTAAAGCCAACCCCCCCCCCCCAACAAAAACAAAGCCAGAAACAAAATAAAGTGCGTTGGTGAGAGGACTCAGGAGCAGGGGCTCGGAGTTGTCCCCGGACCTTCATGTCCACCTGCAGTCACAAATTCACAAGAAATAAGCTTTTAAAGCTGAATTTTTAAATGGAAGAAAAACTATGCAGGGCTGGGGAGATGGCTCAGTCGCTGAAGTGCCTGCCTCCCAGCAAGAGAACTCGAGCCTGCTCCCTGGAAGCCCTGAGAAGCACATGGCCAGGAATCTCCCAGCTCCCTGCAGCCGCTCTAACCTCATTGCTGAGCTCCAGGACAGTGACAATGAGACACCCCGTCTCAAAGGAGATGGACTGTTCCTGAAGGTAGTGGCCAAGGTTCTTTTCTGCTCATGTATGTGGATGCTCACCCCCCCCCCATATACAAACATACAGGTTCATGTGCAAAAAAAAAATATCAATTTTCTAAAAAAAAATTAAAAAGAAATTAAAAAGTACTCCTAAATCCCGAAGGCCTGCTGACCCTGAGGGTGGGCAGTGCTATGGGGGGTTCTGTGCCTGAGGTTCTGTGCTCAGGTCTCCCAGGCAGCAATGGCAGACTCTCTAGCTCCCATTGTCCCACTGGGGGATGACAGCAGTGGTGTCTCCAGAGTGGCTCCTGCTATGGCTGTCAGTCCCTCCTTGATCAAAAGTCTGGAGGCCTCTGATCTACTGAGCACATCGGGAGCACACTTCTTCCACACCTCACCTCACTGTTGAGGGGAAAGAGTTAGTCCTACCTGATGTGGGATTCCCCTCTGTGTGCTGTGATTACCACTGATTAATAAAGAACTTCTTTGAGCCTATTACCATAGGGCAGAACAGAACTAGGCGGGGAAAGCTAGGCTGTGTGCTGTGAGAAAGAAGGCAGAGTCAGAGAGAAGTCATGGAGCCTCTGCCAGAAACAGACATGCCAAAACTTTGCCAGTAAGCCATAGCCATATGGCAATACACAGATTGATGGAGATGGGTTAGTTTAGGATATAAGAGGTAGCCAGAAATACACTTAAGCTACTGACCAAACAGTATTGCAAATAATATCATTTCTGTGTGGTTATTTCGGGTCTGAGCAGCCAGGAACAAACAAGCCACCTCCATACAACACCTACACATGAGGTCAGACGGAAGCCCCTTCTAATCACTCAAACCTCCCTGTGTGCATGCTTGCAGACTACCAGAGGGCTATGGGAAAGAGCTCAGCTCAAGACCTCTGTTCTCTACCCCCACTTCAGGCGACCTCTTCTCCACAATGTCTTCCCAGCTCATCTGGAGGCAGGAATATTGGTCTCTTACTGGTATTCTCCTTGTCTGTGTCATACAGGATGGTCAGTGAGAAGGACGGTGGAGAAGGCGGCGGCGGTGGCGGCGGCAGGAAGTGGAGAGCAGAGAGGTAGTTACGTGGGAGGATCAGGGGCTGCTCTGGCTGCGATGGTGCAGGTGGGAGCGGCGGTGGCGGCGGTGAGCAGTAGGTTGGCTGGAGGTCTCGGGCTGGTTCCGACACCTGCATGGACACACAGGAGGGGCAGAGAGGGAGGCAGTGAGCCAGGCCGGCTGGGCAGCACATCTTTTGTTTCTCTAATGCAGGCAAGCAGGAATGCGGCCACATCTTAGCTGTGCCTGGGGGCTTTCCCTAAGGGATTTTGGAGAGCATAACTCCCCAGGGTGCAGGACTTGCTCCCTAGGCTTGTCCAACTCCAGTGGCTAGGATCACTTGGGAAGAGGGGGCATGGCTGCAGTGTGCAGGCAAGGGCAAAGGAATGTCCCTGGGATGTGTCAAGGGTGACAGCACATGAGTGGAAATAACCTACTGGTTCTTAGGTTTGACCCAGACGTGACAAGGGTGGGAAGAGAATTGTCAGCACTCTAATTCCAATCTCTCTGCCAAGCCTCCCTTTGGAACACAGCTTCTGCCTGGGGCCAGTGGAACAGCTCAGCCCCAAATACAGACTGGAATAGCACACTTAACAAAAGTGTCCAGTCAGAACCCTGCCCTGGATGCCAAGTTGAGGCTTCCTTGTGAGCAGACGGTGTTCTCTAGGCTCCCCTTGGTCACTCGCAGCCTCTCTTTGTCTGTAAGCTGGTGGGCACCTGCTCTCCTGGATTGTAACAGGGGGCAAAGGGAGCACCCACACCTTTCAGGCTGGGCAGTAAATGTGCCATCAGAGTCAAGAGCCAGGTTTTTCTCTACCTCTGGGACACACTTGGGATAGTAGAAAATACCTGGGCTTGAAGCTGGGCATCTCTGAGGCCATACCGACCAGCTAAGGGTCCTGAATCCCCAAGTCTCATTCACAAGATCTGTGGCACTGATGCTCAGCAGAACAAAGGTCTTTCTAGCAGCTGGACCGCGTGAGCTAAAGTTCATGGTTACCCCTGGGATCCCAGTGCCTTTTGGCCTCCAGCTCTGAGAAGCAGACACCACAGCCCCCAGCCTCGTGGTGCAGGTCCACCTGTGTGAGCCCTCCCTTATGACAACTGGCTCTCTGGAACTGAGGACCAGTGAAAGTGGCGAGGGCACCTGGGATAAGGGTGAACTTGGAAAGGATTTGGGCTCCGATTTACCAAGCTGCCTCCGTGGTAGGGGCTACAGGAGACATGACGGAAGCTTCTATGCTGCGGGATCCCCACAGCTGAGGATGCATCCTGGCCATCCAGCGGGAAGGGCTGGTAGGATGGCATGGGGACACAGGCAGGGCACTGGTTGAAAGGCTCTCTCTCAGGATACCCGGTTCCCACCACGTGATCAGGGCTGAATCTCAGAGGATGCCCTAAGAAGACAAAGAGAGACATGTTAACACAAATCCGAGGAACCAAGCAGTGCATTGCTGTCTCCAGGGTAATCGCAAGATGGGCGTCACCAACTAAAGGCATCTCGCGTTACCCACCACACTGGCCTTCATTATACCTTTATACATGTGTATATGACGTATTTGGGTCATGCTCATCCCCACGTCCTCTCATTCCCTGTCATTCTCATGGATCCTTTTGCCATCTGTCCCCTTTCTACTTCAATGTCTCTTTACTGCGTGCAAACCAGTAAGATTAACTAGGGTGACTTACAGGAGCATGGGAGGCCACACCACTGAATTAAAAAGTGTCTCTCCCTTGCTGAGCAATGAGCACTTGCCCAGAGATCCTCAGAAGAGCAGGGTGAGAGGTTCGCATGAACCTCATCTTGTAAAGTAGGCTGCCTTACATTAGTGAGAACTAAGCCAAGTGATGCCCTCCGTGCCCACCTCTTCCCCAGGCTCGCGGTTCCAGCTCCTCTTCACGATATCCCCTGGGATCTGGTGGAGGTGACAGAGGGGTCCCATCTAGAACTGAGCCCTCAGCCGTCACCTGTGCTCGGCACGTTGAGTCTACAGTATCTGCCACCCAGCACTAACAGTGACACTCATCTTCCAGAGGAGATCCGGACACCTGTGCTGGGAGGAGCAGTGGAATCCTCCATTCTCTCCTTGGTTTGACATTGTGGGGGGGGAGGGGCATCTGGCTTTGGTCTGGCTTTGGCAGTGGTCCCGGTGTCCCACAGTGCTACTGCACCACTGGGCCGGCCCGAGTCATTGTGTGGTGGTTCCCACTCATCACTGGACTCTGCTTCAATTTCTGCTCCTGTAGTACGGGTGTGAACAGCACACCCCAGGAGCTCCCACCGCGGACACTGCCTCTCTCCTATTCGTTTTTTTCCCAAAAGATTTATTTATTCAGTATATAGTGCTCTGTCTGCATTTATGCCTGCACGCCAGAAGAGGGCACCAGATCTCAGTAGGCCTGCACGCCAGAAGAGGGCACCAGATCTCAGTAGGCCTGCATGCCAGAAGAGGGCACCAGATCTCAGTATGCCTGCATGCCAGAAGAGGGCACCAGATCTCAGTAGGCCTGCATGCCAGAAGAGGGCACCAGATTTCAGTATGCCTGTACACCAGAAGAGGGCACCAGATCTCAGTATGCCTGCACGCCAGAAGAGGGCACCAGATCTCAGTAGGCCTGCATGCCAGAAGAGGGCACCAGATTTCAGTATGCCTGTACACCAGAAGAGGGCACCAGATCTCAGTATGCCTGTACACCAGAAGAGGGCACCAGATCTCATTACAGACGGTTGAGCCACCATGTGGTTGCTGGGAATTGAATTCAGGACCTCAGGAAGAGCAGCCAGTGCTCTTAACCTCTGAGCCATCTCTCCAGCCCTCTCCTATTCCTTTTTAACCCCACTGTCCTTGACTACTCTTCCACACTCCTATCACCCATCTACAGACCTTGGTTGGATCCAGCTGACCCACCAGCTACTAGAGCTCCCTACACTGACCAATAGGATCCTTCAGAGAGCATTATCCTTTCCCCAGGACAGGATTTCAGGAGGCAAGGAAGGGGTCCTAGTCAGCATGCCAGATACCCAGGGCAGTTTAAAGAAGGGGTGGCTGGTTTCGACTCACAGTCCGGGGCTGTTGGCACCACCATCTGTGACTCCCCATGAGGCAGGACATCCTGGTACGAGGCTGTGGTGAAGCCACTGCTGCCCAGCTCACTTCACCCAGGAAGCATCAAGAAGGAGAAGGACCGCTAACATTCTTTCTCTTGACCATCTCTCACCCTATCAGAGACCTAGGCTATGAGATGCTGGCACCCACATTCAGGACCCACCTCTGCCACTTGGTAAAGCCTCTCTGGAAATGCCTCCCAGATGCACCCAGAGGTGCTCCTCCCCCATCCCCGGGGCCAGCAAGAGGGCTCAGCAGGTAAAGTCACCTGCCACCAACCCTGACAACCTGAGCTCCATCCCAGTTCATCAAAGCTGCCTCTGACTTCTCCACACGTGCTGGGATTAGCCACAAGGGCCTGCCTTCTCCCCACCTCTTCGGACCGCTTGTGTTCAGCACACTTTAAATTTCCGTTTGTTGAGAGGCGGAACAAAGGTATGCTCTTGTAGGATTGCTGCTTTGGGCCTCTCCTTCCTCATCAAACAGCTAGTTCCCGGGGAGACAGATTTCTTACAAAGTCCCAGAAAGAGGAAATGATAGCAGAACATTGGTGTCCATTTCTGAGAATCTGGCACTGAAGGAAGAACGGTGTCCACGGGTTACACCCGAGCAACCGGTTGACTCGCACTTTGAGCCCTTTCTACTGTCATACAGGAAGTGCCAAAACCACACCTGCATCCTAAAGGACCATTTCCCAAGCGCTTCAAAAGCTCCATTACTTGAAACTTTAGGAGCTGGAGAGACTACAGCTCAGCCGTTAAGAGCATTGGCTGCTCTTCCAGAGGACCAGGGCTCGATTCCCGGGCAGCTTACAACTATTTGTAATTCTAGGGGATCCGACACCCTCACACAGGCATACATGCGGGCAAAACACCAATGCATTACAAATAAATTATTTTTAAAAAGAAGAAAAAAATCGTACTTTAACTGTGAAAGCAACATGGCAAAGAAAGGTGAGGAAAAAAAGCCGCAACCTCTTTTCTTTTTTTTTCTTTCTTTTTTTTTTTTTTTTGGATTTTCGAGACAGGGTTTCTCCGTAGCTTTTGGTTCCTGTCCTGGAACTAGCTCTTGTAGACCAGGCTGGCCTCGAATTCACAGAGATCTGCCTGCCTCTACCTCCCGAGTGCTGGGATTAAAGGCGTGCGCCACCACCGTCCGGCTAAGCCACAACCTCTTAAGGTCCAACCTTTCCCTCTTGCCATTTGCAAAAAATGCTTAATGCTCAAGCATATCTGGTGAAACAGAAAAAGTGGGTGCAGGTGCATTAGGTTAGGAGAAACTTTGAGGCTCCGCCAGGCGAGAGGAGGGGCGCAAGCGCAGTCCAGAAACAAGTACAAAAAGAGTCTACAGTAGGAGAAAATGGCAGGCGGGCGGGGGTGGGGGGGGGACACGCACGCAGGTGCAAGAGGGCTAGGCTTGGGAGGGGGAGGGGATGACATGCAAGCGCGGGAGGCCCTGTCTTCCCCAGAGGGGACAGAGAAAGGCGCCACAGCCTACGCTGCCCAGCTGCCATCTTTACTTGTAAAAGCACAAAGGGCAGAAAACTGCATCTCGACATAACCACCGTCTACTCTTTCCCACCAGCCTTTCCCCGTTGCCATCAGAAGCCACCCACCCAGATCCTTGTCCTCAAAGCGGGCTTACCTGGGGAAGGCGCCCTCCCCACCCCGGCATCAGTCTGGGACGCCAGCTTAGACCCAGAGGCTGCAGACCTGAAGCAGGCCCGAGGAACCGTCGGCTGCACGAGGCCAGGCTTACCGTAGTCGGTGAACGGCAGTCGGGGCACGGGCCGCAGTGGCAGGCGCTGCTCGGGGCCATAGGGCTCGGGCCTGGGCACCTGCGGGCTGCCCTGGGGCAGACACGCCGAGGGACGATCGTGCGGTCCCCCGGGAACCCCCAGGCCAGACTGGAAGGTGCTGGGGCCCGGGCGGCCGCCTGGGACCCGCTGGAAGGCGCTCAGACCCGGGCTGCGGACCGGCGGAGGCCTCTCAAGGAAGCAGGTGACCACGGGGCCTGGCCGGGAGCCTCCCGGAGCCACCCTGGGCAGTGGGCAAATGCTCGAGCTCGAGGAGGCGGCCGCCGTGGCCGCCGCCACCGGAGCCCCGGGAGGCAGCTGGGCCCCCTGGGTGCCCGTGGTCACCTCCTGCTCCTCGGCAGCTTGGGTCTTGAGCACCTTGTGGGCAGCCATGATCTTCTGGCGCTCGGTGATCAGGTAGCACTTATCGCAGATGCACTGCTTCCAGCGACACTTGCCCGCATGGCCCTTGACTGGCACCAGATAGCCATGGTTCCGGCACCGTGAGCACTTGGGGGTACGAAACATCTTGTCGTCCAGCCTGGCGAACTCAGCTTCCAAACACGGCCACCACCTCCGAAAGCTGCAGAGCGAGTGAAGCGGCAGTGAGCAGTGTCCCACAAGTCCCTGGTGCTGGGGACATTGGATACACTTGTAACAAAACAGCTCGCAGAGTGTCCCCGGAACTGCAATAGGACTCTTGCATTTTCCCCTCTTTTGGAGGGGTGCAAAAGTCCAATATTTCTGTGTATTTATGTATTTATCGGGTAGTGGGGTACTGAATAAATTAAAAATGGAATACTTACTGCATGTATGTCGTGTGCGTTATTTGAAGTCTTTGGCGCTTGAATTTTCAAACTTTCTGTTCCCGCCAAAATGTAACTGGACAATAGTTTGATTTTTTTTTTTTGAAAAAAGGCGGACTACTCAACGGTCCAGGCTTTTAAAACTCGCGAGAAACAGAGCTGTTATAGTGAACCCATTCCACATGAAATTCCAGGGGACGCTAGGTTTCTCTCCCTGAAGTGTCTGCTTCGGCTCTCGTCTCCTCTGCAGAAAAAGGAGCAGTCATGCTTTCAGAATATTCTTTTGAACTTAGTGCAGTGTGGTGGTTGCTTACAGGCATGGCCTTACAGAAATTCTGATGTTTTGAGTCCTGTTCATATGAAGCACCCGTATCTGAAATATGTGCGAAATAATGTTCTAGAATAGCGGGGCGTGGTGACGCAGCCTCACGACTTTAATTCCAGCACCCTGGAGGCAGAGGCAGGCAGATCTCTTTGAGTTCCTGGATAGCCATGGCTGTTACACAGAGAAATGCTGTCTTTGAAAAAAAAAAAGCAAAAAAAGGTCTAAAGTAAAAGAAACAAGATATTCTGGCGCTAGTTTGAATTTAGTGTGTGCCTGTGTACACGTATGTGTTTCCTGTTTCACATGGTACATACTTCTTTCGGAAAAAAATAAATAAACATCTTCAAGAACCTTCCTGAGATATCTGCTGATCTAGGGTGGTGCACACAGCAAGGTGTGCTCAGACCTAGCGAGGGGTGACTGGCACCTCCCAGATGGCATCTACACCCAGAAAATACAGATATTATGAGGAGCCGCAGATTGACAGTTTGCTGGGCTTGTGACAAAGAATGGACTCCAGTCCATTCAGTCTCAGCAAAGGGAAGTGCCAAACTTTTCAGAATAATCCCACCCAAAAGACAAAAACAGCAGCGTGCGCATGCATACACGCACGCGCACGCACACATATACACACACAATATTTCCATTTTAAAATCTTTAATAACCCAAACCCACACAAGCTGTCATTTAAAAAACAAAACAAACAAAAAGAACTTAGGGGTTTTTGTTTGTTTGCTTGAGAAAGCGTCTCGCTATATAGCTCTGGCTGTCCAGGAACTCACTATGTAGACCAGGTTGGTCTTGAACTCACATAGATCTGAAGACTCCGTCGACAGGACGCTGGGATTAAAGGCACCTGCCGTTACACCCTGGCTTTGGCTTTATTTATATTTTTTTAAAGAAATATCTATGGTGTCTTTCAAAAGGTTTTCAAAACCTAAAGACAGGCAGTGCTTTAAATGGTAATCAGGCCAACTCAGAGAGTCAGAAGCAGACTGACTGTGTTGACAAGATCAAAGATAAATGACCAAAACGTGGGAATATATGTCACTACACAGTGCAGATTTCCTAGAGCTTCCCCAAAGCCTTAAATTTTTTGAGCCATAATTTTTACTCCGTGTCCGAAGCATTGACTATAGGAAGTATCCCAACTGCGGTCCCGCAGTGGCCATCCTGACTCCGGCTGCTGTAGTCTGGAACCTCTGCACAAATCCCTCTGGGACTTGGGCAGCCTCTGCCCACTTGCCCTCTGGAGAACGCACCGCTGTGACCCTATGAACAAAAGCTCAGGCTCCTGGCAGAGGTCCCTTGGCCGTGGGATCGGTGGTTAGACAACTTGCCAGCGAGGGCGACTTCAATTTACTGCCGGTCTGCACACTTCCAGTGTTCCCCCCTCCCCCCAGTTACAGCGCGCTCAGCGTCGCCCACGTTCTGGAAGGTGCAAATACCAAAGCTGCAAGATAACTGTCTTTTTTTTACAACCACCACTTCAAAGACCTGTTGGCTTTAGAATATCTACCCCAGAGACCACCCACTGGTGTAGAAACTTAGCACGTCTCAGAAAAGGATGACTTTATCCAATGTGGTGGCCACGGCTGAGCCAGAGAATCTAACTAGACCCTGACCCAGGTAGAGAAAGACCTGGCACAAAGTGGCCAGAGCCTCCCGATGTGAAGTCTGGGCTGTTTTTACTTTAGGTTTGTTCATTTGGGTTTTTTGTTTGTTTGTTTGTTTTTTCCGAGACAGGGTTTCTCTGTATAGTCCTGATTCTTCTGGAACTTGCTCTGTAAACCAGGCTGGCCTCAAACTCATAGAGATCCGCCTGCTCTGCCTCCGAAGTGCTGGGACTAAAGGTGTGCGCCACCACCGCCGGGCGAGTCTGGACTGTTTTAACGCTCATGAATTCAGCTATCTCTGTAAAGCAATTCAGATCTTGGAAAGGCTGGCACAAACGCGAGAAATGGAAGCAGGGCTCCTGCACGCCTGGCAAAATTTCCAGCTATAGTCCCGTCTTTTCCTTTTCCTTTTTCTTCCTGTTTTCCCTGGCTCCCTCCTTCCTTCCTTCTTTCCTCGGGTAAACTCTAGAGAAATCACTCAGGCTGCCCTGGAGCTGGCTCAGTAGCCCAGCTAGGCCCTGAACTCCAATCCAGCTGACTTAAGCTCCACTGTAGTTTTGATTACAGCCAGGTCCAGCTACAAGCATCCATCAGAGACGCTAAATTATTCATAATTTGTTTTGGTAAAAATCTTGGGCACTCTTGCTGGGTGTCGTCTGGAGCTTTTGGTAGGATCATCTATCTCTATTTAAGGAGATATTTGTGCTTGCTAGTTAGCTAACTTCTATGTAATTTTCATTCCCCTGTTCTGAAATCTTTCTGGTAATGCAGACGGCCTAGATTTTCCTGAGTCTCAGATTGCAACACTATGTAGCATTTCTCCCCCCCCCCCCCCCCCCCCCCCCCCCCCCCCCCCCCCCCCCCCCCCCCGCCTGGGGGTAAAAAGTTGTTGCGGTTCTGTGCTCCTTGGACTCCAGAGAGCTGAATGGGGATTCAGAAAAATCTTTGCTCGTTCAGAAAAAAAAAAAAAAAAGCATTCTTCATCTTTGTAAGTCCACAAGAGCATGTTCCTTGGGTTATTAGTCACTCCAGGAATTTAGCAGGTAGTAGGCATCATTTAAAGAGTCTAGGTTTTAGCCGGGAGGAGGCAGCACACGCCTTTAATCCCAGCAGTTGGGAGGCAGCGGCAGGCGGATCTCTGAGTTCAAAGCCAACCTGGTCTGCAGCTTGAGTTCCAGGACAGCCAGAGCTACACAGAGAAACCCTGTCTCGAAAAGTCAAGGAAAAAAAAAAGGAGGAGTCATGGTCCAGATGCCTAGGTTTGTCTGCCCAGCCCTAACACTGTATTGATCTCAGATTTTTTTTTTTTTTTTTTTTTTTTGGAGCCTGTCCTGGAACTAACTCTTGTAGACTAGGCTGGCCTCGAACTCACAGAGATCCGCCTGCCTCTGCCTCCCAAGTGCTGGGATTAAAGGCGTGCGCCACCACCGCCCGGCTTTGATCTCAGATTTTAAACATATCCCTTAGACAAAGGGCAGCAACTCTTTCTTCCACACAATTTCAAACTGTCGAATTTTTTTTTCACTGATCTTGAGTGAAAAGGAAACCTAAAAAACCATCGCTTCAGGGACTCCGGTGTCAAGAACTGGAGAGGGCACTCTGAAGCTGGATGCCTGGGACCATGCATCCTTCACAGTGTAGAGGCACTAGTCCTGGGGGGGGGGCTCATCCTCACATACCAGACCAAAAAAAGAAAGGAAAAAAAAGCTTAGGGGAACACTCATGCTGGTGGCAGGCGTGATCCGTGGACTTCTTGTCCTAGGTTCAGTTGCTGGGGTAATTCAGATGCCTCCCACCCTAGCCAGACTATAGCAAGTTACAGCCTTCAGAGCTCTGTGTGATACTGGGCCCAGAGAGTCAGGTGGATTGTACTTTGAGGGAGATGACGTTATCTGTCTTCCTCATTCAAGTGATGGCAGCTGATGGAGGGGAGCTGCAAAGATGGGCCTCAGCTAATTCTGATTGGCGACACGGCTGAGCAGGCAGAATCCATTGAATACCAGCTGCAGGAGCTGCACAAGGCAGTTTGAGCTAGATGAGTGTTTGTTTGGACAACCCAGTGGGTGTGAATGGCGGTGACAAAGCCTGAAGCGCAGTTTTGTACTGGACTTGTGACGGTCAGCACAAAGACACAGTGGAAGCACTGTTTACAGAGCCAAACAGAGACCCAAACAAACAGAATGAGTGGGGAGATTTGGCTTTTCAGCCGATGCCCAGAGTGCTTGTCTAGGCATTGATGCTCCTGGCAAAAGGTGAGAGTAGACTTAAGAAATAGCAGGAGGAAGCTGGTCCCCACCATGGCCACTAATGCTGAATGTGCATGGCTTCTGGAAAGGGACAGGAAACAGGTTTGATTCTAATACTAGGCAATGCCTAGGGCTACTTTTTAAAAAATGTTTTTATTTATGTGTATGTGTACGTATGTACGTCTTTGTGTGTATGTGTTTGTGTGTGAATGTGTGCGTGTGTGTGGAAGACAGAGGTAGGGTAGGCATTGGGTATCTTCCTCGATCACTCACCACCTTATTTATTTTTTTTTTTTTTTGGTTTTTTGAGACAGGGTTTCTCTGTGGCTTTGGAGCCCGTCCTGAAACTAGCTCTGTAGACCAGGCTGGTCTCGAACTCACAGAGATCCGCCTGCCTCTGCCTCCCGAGTGCTGGGATTAAAGGCGTGCGCCACCATCGCCCGGCCTTCACCACCTTATTTTTTGAGACAGGGGCTTGTGCTGAACCTGGAGCTCACTAATTCAGCCAGACTCTCTGACCAACAAGCTCTGGGGGTCTTCC